CGCTCTTCTTTTGTAGCTGATTCCTCTGGTAGAGCCTCCATGGCACTTAAATGTTTTAGATGATCTTGGTGTCTCTCAGAGTCTAGGCTGTAGTGGCACAGTCATAGATCTGAAAAGCAGAGATGCTTCTTGGTATTTTTGCTTCCATACCATCTTATTTGAGTAGATATTTTGAGATAAATTTGTATCTTTGAAAGATGTAAGAGTTATTGCAATGAGGAGCATAGGAAATCTGCACCTAGGTTTGGAAGTCTGTGTTTAACCAGAGTGAAGTACTTAAGACATGGGCTGAATGCTAGTTAAAAGTGAAAAGAAACACCCTCAAAACACAAAATACCAAATAGCTTGCTTCTGTACTACTATAGCTATATATCATGCTTTTGTTAACGACAAAATAAAAAAGTTCTTCCCAACACTGGTTTAGTGTTCTGTCCACCTATTTTTCGCTTTTCTGCTCTTGAGCAGCATGTCGGTCTGGCAGCAGCTGCCCTGCAATGAACTGGGTTGTTGCTTCCTCTGGAGGCAACTGTCTGTCAGGGTAGCAAACCAAAACCTGTTTCCATTTTCTCAGAGATGCTGCAAACTATTCCCTTCAGAGCAGTGAACTACAAGATAGGTCTTGCCCTGTTAGAAAGATACTCATTTCCATTCCCACTACATTTAAATTAACGTTTAGAAGCTTAGTTGAATCCAGCTGACTGATGAACTTCAGACTTTACTCCGTCCAGACTGAAATGAAAAAATGAGTTGAGGCGCCTGTTCCTGAATATCTGAAAAGCTTTGAGCGTTCGTCCCTACTTTTCTTTGGATTTCTAGAGAAAATAAATATACAGGGATTTTGTTATTTGCATCTAAGGACTTAAAATGTGTCTTGCTTTTTACATTTATTAATTGAAGTAATAATTTTAATAAGATATTAATAGGTATTTATTTAATTAGACACAGTATACTTAGAGTCTGGTCCTGTAGGTGTTGTGTTCATCTCTTTAATACCACACATATCCATTTATTTCCAGAGGAGCTGAATGATACTTTCATGAGGTCATCATATTGTGTTTTCTGTTGTCATGGATTCTCTATGCGTGTCTCATCAGTTTATTTTGTTCTCTTTGTAATCTTCCCTTATTCAAAGCAACTCTGGTGAAGAACACTTCTAAATGTCTGTGCTTTCCTAAGAGAAACATTGGTGAGATAAAATCTGAAAAGTTATAATTTAAAGGGGATTGCTATTGTTGTCACCAGTTAAAAAACAAGTCAGTTTGTTACATTCAGAACCCAGTGTGAATCTACCCTAAATTTTGAGTTGTATAAAGCATTTTAGAAAAAAAGGGCTGTTTGAAATGTGAGTTAATACAGCCTCCCATATATCTTGATCAATAGTCCAGACCCACCTGTGATTTTACCAGATGTGTTGGGGGTGAGAAAAATGACATTTTGCTTGTCCTTTTTTGTGGTAATCTTACAAAACCTACTGTCTTGATATTTTTACAAACTGGATACATCCACGAAGCAAGACAGATCAAAGCAAAGGCTCCATGGTGGTGTGTATGGAGAATACCAGGCAGAGAGATGTGAATTTTAGCTTAAAGTGTTCTCCAAAGTGTGTTTATCCTCAGCAAGAAAATGAAATGTGCCTAGGGCAATCTGTGTTCATAGGAAGAGGAGATGCAGGATTGACTTTTTATTGGAAATGATGGAGCTGATACTGGATTTTGTTTCTCCATCTCACCTTGATCCAACATGAGCAGGTGGGTGGACGTCAGCCCCTCCTGTGTTTGCCCATGAGGCTGCCTGCGCACGTGCATGCATACACTGTGGATGTATGTGTGAGTGGATTGCGTGTTTCCCTGTGGCTGTGATTTTACCTGTTTTGTGTGTGTGTCTGCTGTTTATATATGTGTCTGACAACTTCCTATGAAATTAGCTGTTAGAACTGTTCCTGTGGCCCTGGTAGCTATTTGCTATTGGCTTTGGGAGGGGTGAAATACCAAGAGGGCTGGGTGTCAAAAATCAAGTAAGAAACAATCAAAAAGGACTGATTTATATCACCTTCTTGATAAATTGCTATGATTGGAACGGCCTGCCCAGGGAGGTGGTTGAGTTGCCATCCCTGGAGGTGTTTAACAGAAGAGTAGATGATGTATTGAGGGAGATGGTTTAGTGGTGTTCATAGGGCTAGGAAAATGTTGAACTCGATCTTGAAGGTCTCTTCAGGCCAAAACTCTTCTATGATTCTATGAAATTGGTAATTGTTTTCTGATCTTTTAGACACACTTCCTTACAAATGTCTTCAGGAATTATCTACGATGAAGACAGAAACATAATTTTAGTTTATTTACAGCTGCAAAAGTTGGAAAACGAAAATACTATGAAGAAGGCAAACTTTTTTTTTGTCATTCCTTACTCCTTGTAAATCTAAATACAGAAAAAAGTGAAATTTTAATTGTGAACCTAACTTTTTGAAATAAATTTTGAAATAAATCATGAGCTCATCTAAAGACTGAGGCAGAGGAAACACCACGCTCTGAAGAATAGTTTAAAATAGTCTTAGTCGTCAATATGTCATTTCAGTTGTTACTTAAATAAATAAATAAATAAAATAATTAGTAATCCCCTAAAGTAAGAGACCATTATATAAGAAAGATTTTAAAAACAAAAAAATCTGCTCCGTGTGGTAGAATTAAATCCACCCAAACAATTCTAAGATTTGAGCTATGGAAAAAGATTTAAGTTGATCTACTCTTTACAAGATGCTCTGTTTAATTATAAAACAAGCCCTAACATTAGCACACACTGTTAGAAGTCACATGTCAGTAGATAGGCAAGATTTAAAAAAACTTACTCAAGGTGTTGTGGTTCACTGGTCGTTCCCTGCAGAGAGATCCTCAGCCCCAGGAGGGTTTCTGCTCCCTGAAAGGGAGCAAGGGCAGTTTGGACTAAAATAGTACTCAACTCCTCCCTGGTATTTCTCACCCTTTTGCACAGGTGTTAATTTAGAAGTTAGATTTCCGGTACTCATGTCTTCTTCACCGCTTCTGCCATGGAAAGGCTTGATAGCTTAGAGAGGTGGACCCCTCAGGAGGGGGGGAAAACATGAAAATTCTCTGTACTGTTCCCAGATAGGGTAGTGTTTGTACATGAACATGTGGAAGAACCAGAGGGCTGCTACTCTCACAATCTTTTTTTCCCTCCACTCCACCCTCATATGGCCAGGAGAAAGACAAGGGCTTATAGCTGCTCCGCTGCAGTATGCAAGTGCCCTGTGGCGATGTTCTCTGCACTAAATGTTTTTGCAGGTAACAGGGAAAAGTTAAGAGCTGGATTTACCCCCATTCTGTTAATTTAATTTAGCACTCTGTTTACCTTTTCCCCCCCCACCCCCCTCCTGAAATACAGTATTTTGGTGCTGCTGTAGAGACATGCAAGGACCTTGGAGCATGTAGTTTGTAGCACCTGGATGTTTCACAGCAATCAGATGTGTGCTTATGCCAAGGAATCTGGGAAGATGAATACAGACTAAGTCTCTTGGCTTGATGGTGACACTGAGAAGTGTCACATGTAGTAGCAGCGCAGTGCAGCATTCATGGCTGGACATGCCCTTTACCCAGGTTGGGAACTTTGCAGGCTCAGATGTAAGATTTGACAGGGTTTGCCTGTCAGGCCCATAATTTGGCAGCACTGCAGGACTAATGTGATTTGCATCTCTGAGCATCTCAGGGAGCTGGAGCACCTTGACACATGCTTCAGTTTGGCAGGGCAGCCCAGAGAGCCCTTGCAGAGTCTGTCAGTGCCCATCCCCTTCGGTGAGACTTAACCTGGGTACCGAAGTGACTGGGTACCAGAGCGGCTGCGAGACACAACCGAGAGCGTGTCACGTGTGTCCCGGGCCATGTGTGGCTGTGAGCTCTGGGCAGACTCTGGCCAGAGAGAGGGGGAACCTTTCAAGCTGGGAGAGACCAGCCCCATGGGAGGTGGGAGCTGAGTTGGGGAATGAGAGGGGGTGAAAATCACCATGCAGCATGTCCCTCCTCTGGGCTGGGGGCGAGGGGAAGGACCACCCGCTGCGGGCAACGGTAATAATAGAGGAGGCAGTGGAAAGCTGCTGGAGAGTGGGAGGGGGAGCAGCTCAGGAAGCCCATTGAGGGGTCTGCCCCTCTGCCCGTGTCCTGGTGCTCCCACTGTGGATGGGGGAGAGCTCCAGGGCTCCCCCTGTCCGCCCTGCTGCTGGATGCCCAGAGCCCCTCGCCCCTTACTGGCTGGAGGAGGAAGAGAAGGAGGAAGAGGAGGAGGAGACCGGGTGCTTTCACTCCTGCTGGCTGCAGAGGCTGAGGCAAAAGACAGAAAAAGGAGGAGGGGAATAAAAGTAAAGAGCGAGGGGGAGAGAGAGTAAAAGAAAACTAAGCCCAGCTTTTGCCGGTGCTGCTTGGATTGGATCTGGTTTGAGTTTCCTCTCTGCTGGCTTGTGCAGCAAGAGAGGAGGAGTGGGGGGAAGTAACTCGCTCACTCTTCCTCTGAAGCTTAAGCAAACGTGCTGGTGCCTGCGCTGGTGGGGAGCTGCCCTGGGTGCAGTTGCCTCGCAGCTTACTGCGCTCAGTTACTAAAGAATTGCCTGGACTTCTCGAGGACCTGGAGGAAAAAGCCATCACTTCACAGACCTGATAGTTGCTCAGTGCCTATAGACTTGACACTTCTCTTTTTTTTTCCTAGGGGATTCTTTTTAAATTATTTTTCTCCCATCTCTCTCAGAGCAGCAATTCCTTGAGTGTGTGGCATTGAAATCTATTGCTCTGTTAACAACTTTGGGAGACATTTTTTAAAACTTTTTTTCATCTCTTTTATTTTGTTTGCCTTAAAAAAAAGGAAAAAAAAGGAAAAAAAAGATAATCCTTTTGGGGGGAGGGGAGATGATCGTGCTGATGTGGAATAAGCGCTCCTGCTGTCTCCTCTTACTAGCCGCGGTCCTGATCGTGGAGAGCTCCCAGCTAGACAGCTCCAGCTCCAAGGTGAACTCCATCAAATCCACCCTGATGGGGGAGGCTCCAACTCAGACAACCAACAGATCTGCAGGCATCCACCAGGGACTGACGCTTGCTAGCAGTAAGAAGGGCAAAATGCTAGAGCAGATGGGAAAACCTCCCAAGCACTATCACCGGCAAGGAGAGGTAGGACTTTGCTTCACTGCTCAGCTGTCTGTCTGTCTGTGTGCTATGTACAAGTAATTGCTGATCTTCCTCCCACATTGTTTTCAAAGGTTCATTCTGTTAAATTATTTTTCTTCATTGAGGTTGTCTGGGACAATGTCATCTCATAATCGGTGCGAATGGGAGTTTCTCTCAGTAGGATTAGTAACTGATGGCTGAAAGAGTAATCTAAGAAATTATCACCTTCAACATTTATTCGTTACATTCCTTCAAAGGACTTCTAGAAGTAAAGGAAAAAATTTCTCATTAACTCTAAAATGCTAATGGAGGTGAATTTGCATAGGCAGGGAAAATTTGAGCAGGAAGTGAAAACAGTGTTTACAGCCGTGAAACAAACGTGGTTTTAAAAATCACACCTGGCAAGTTGATCTCTGATATCTTTCTCCATGGTAAGAATAAAAAAAATGTGTTGTCCCAATGGTATCATTTAGGGCATATTCGTTTACTTAATATGACAGAAAATAAATTATATGTTTCTTGTCTAGAATACACTCCAGTGGTCGTGGAAGATTTGTTTGGTTATGTCCAGTTAAGATAAGCAGGGAATAGCAGCACTGAATGTGAAGTCTGAGTGTAAGGAAGAAAGAAAAAGTTATAGAAACTTTATGAAAAATATATCCTGACTTGCTCATAAAGTTTCCTTTCCTTTCTACACTGCTTGAAAACTTGGAAGTCTGATAGAAAATTTGTTCAATTGTCTTTCTGGTAAGCTATAAAGCAATATTTTAAGCCGTAAATCCTCTACTTGCCTGTCAAGTCTCAACTTGGATGGTACGAATGTTGCGCATTGTCGTGTTGAAGGAGATAGGCTTCAGCAAGTATGGGTTTTAGACTATTGTGTATTACTAGTACCTCCAAATACAGCTGCTTTTCATAAGCAACAGTGTAGCAGCAAAGGAGTTGCCAAGGTTTAGCACTAAAAAGGCAAAATACTCAATGCCTGAAGGGTCTGTATCTTGCCTTCATTTTCCTTAAAGCAGCAGAAAAGCTGTAAATTCAAGCAATCCACTGAATTTGCTAAAGTGTTTCGTGTCAGCTTCCTAATAATTGAATGTTATTATTTGGTTTTGTGTGCAGGCGTAATAACAGTGGTGGTAGTTTTGGTTTTTGTGTGTGAGAAATTTGTTTTTAAACTTCTCCAAGCTTTCTTTCTCAAACCACTCAATTGTTTTATAATTTACCCAGAATTTGCTTGCCTCTCCTTACCTCTGAACAAAGTTTAATAACAGATGCTGTGCTGAAGTTTCGTATTGCTGAAGTTTCATATTACTGAAGTACTGTGCTCTTTCCTAGTGCACATTGTAATAATTACTATATTAAATCACCTTGAGGAAATACAGGAGCATGATAGGCTTTCTTATATGTTCTCCTTGGATTTTCTTTTGTTTTGTGTGTATTTACAAAATCAATATATCATACCTATTTTCCCACTGAGTGTTATCTGTCTCATGAGTTTCAGTGCGGGTACTTGCACAGCCCAAAACATGATATATAATTTTTGCTTTTTGAGCATGTCCTGCCACCATTCTTTATGTGCAACATCCATAGCATTTCAAAGCGTGTTCTGTGCAAGGCTGAGAATGATTGATTATAATTTACCCAGCTCCTGGAAAACAGGTTGCACTGCCCACTGGTTGGGTTTGCAAGATTTGCCCCTTACTTGCTGACCTGGATTGTTTGCTGGGGACTTTTAGTTACTAGCGTGAAACTCACAAGCTACACTTCAAGTCAGAGTATCTGTAATGGTAGAAGAGGTGGTATGCATGTTAAGATGTCCTTTTTGTAGCCCAAGCAAAGACCTCTGGAGAATCAGTGGCTTTGGCTCCCAGGGAGCAAAGCCTGACCTGCCGTCAAGGGGTGTTGGTGCTGATTTCACCCTCTTTCA